ATAGGGCAGCCATTTCTAGATAACAATTCACCTAGAGGAAGATATGAAGGTATTAATTGCAAGTTCAAAATGAATCAACATGCGTCACATGGAAGCCAAATATATTAATGCAAACCTAGAATACATTGAGAAACAAAATCTCTAGAACATAGAAGGTGTGACCTTTCTGCCATATTCTGCCCCAGTCAGACCATATCTGACTACTAGTGGGTAGCACATTTTAGTTTCCTAAACTACAGGTTTGACAAAGTGAATTATGTCTAGAGGAGAATGACCAGAATGATAAGAGGAAATGGAGATTATACTTTTCAAGTAGAAACTTGAGAATGTTTAACCTAGAAAAGAGAAGATTTGGTAAGACATGACAGCTATCTTAAGATATTTGCAGGACTGTCAAATGGAAGAGTGAATATTTTGCTTGGCTTATAGATGTAGCCTGGATTTTCTGGGCATGCCCAGTTCACTTAACGTGGAGGCTACCTTGAGAAGTCTTTGAGTATGTTCAGTTTACCCCACATGGAGGCCTCTAAATCCCCTACTATGTGGCAGGGCTTGCCTCCTCTGATTGGCTTTCTGTGTCTTCAAAACTGGCAAGACTGAACCATTTACTCTTTCTGCTGCTTTTTTCAGCCACTTTTATCATTGTGTCCAAAGGGTAAAGACCACACACAGTTCATCAACTGCATGGGCACCATGAGCTGAACTGCTAAGAGTGGAAGGACTTTTCCCCCTACACTCCCTCTTTATCCCAGCTCCAAGAAAGGATCTTGGAGGTGTTTGTTTCTGTTCTGTGTTGTTTGCCCTCCTCAGCTTCAGGTGCCAGAGGTGGTCTTCGTGGGATCTGGGAATTCAAACCATGGCAACCGTGGAGCCAGGATTACAGGCAGGACGGTGCAGCCAGCCAGCCTGGTATGGAAGCCCTGAGAAACCAGGATGCTGGTATTCAAGCCTGAGGTGGGGTTCGCATTTAGAACTGGGACTATGCTATATGGGAATGGAGCTAACCCATAAGCCTCTCCCTAGAGACTGAGGAGGTGCAAAGGGATGCAAATGATTATGCCTCCCCCATTTGGGGAGGGGGAGGTAAGTTTGTATATTAGTGTATATATCTTCTGAAGTAAATATTTCTAACTGTTAGTGGCTGGTGGAACTGGCATACAGGGAACCACTCCCTATGCTTGGAAGAACAACATTAATGAGCTCCTATAGCCTTTTGTAGAGAGCCTAGATCAGACATGGGGAACCTGTAGCCTTGAGAGAATCATTGCAAGAATGGACAGGACAGGACAGCTTTTTTCACTTGAGACAGGGACAAAGCCAAGATGATCCAGTTCCCAAATCCTGAAGGAAAAGCTTAGAAAGCTCAGCGGAGAACTTTACTCCTCAAAATAATATATGATGTTTAGATTTCCAGGTACATGAATCTGAGCTCAAAAGAAAATACCCTGAAACTCTGCTATACTAGCAGCTAGATCCTATGCAATGAGGGTTAGTTGTTGAAGGGTAAGGGAAGTGTATGTGCTCTGTGTGCTCTCTAGGAACACTTTCAGGAAGCCTAGGTGGAGCTCAATAGCTTTCCACAAGCCCAGTTTTAAAGGACGACAGGAATCTCACATGATGAGAAAGATGTTTGATTGTAAGAGACAGAATCAGGGAGAGAGGGGGAAGAAGCGAAGGTTGGGACCTGGATGGAACATCCGGTTTGCTCAGCTGCTGTGTGGAAGCACGACACTCTCCACAACTTTCCCAGCTTCTGCTGATGCCATCATGAATGCCCTTGGTCTGCAATACCATGCAGGAGCAACCATGGTGCAGAAAAAAACTCACTGTCATATAATTGCTCCACATTGTTCAGTTTGGGCTTCTTGAAGTCTATTTTCATCCTCTTTCTATTAGCTTTGCAAATTTAAAAAAAAAAAGGCAGTCTTGTAGAAATGTTGTTTAGCCTACGAAAGTGTGTGCACCTGCCCCTGTCTAGTCCCCTCTTCACTATCTTACCACCTAATTTTACTGATCTCCACCCCATTCAGCATGGAACACAATCACCTGCCTAGAGCCAACAAAACCAGTGTTTCCCCACAAATACATATTCCCATGAAACCAAACAAAAATGGACAGCATGTAGCAGCCAAGAGTATTAACTTTCTTTAAGGCCCACAGATTGATTTTCATTAGTGCAGTTTTTGAAATCCTTAAGGTCTATCCTGATTTCTTTTAGGCCCGGGGCAAATGAACACATACTTATTTTCATGGCTGATTTAAACCTGTGAATCTCTCCCAGTTCAATTTCCTTTCCTTGCTGAAGCAATCATCATGGCAAGAATGTTAGGAGATGACAAAATTTTCAGATAAGCACACACTTTTAAAATCATCTCTTGGTTTGGCACTTATTTGACTCCCATGTATTGCCTCATCAATATCTACAAATATCTTACTAACCTTTCTCATAGCTGACATATTCAAGGACTTTTTCTTGCCATAATCTTAATAAAATATTGAGCTCTGCAAAAATAAAGACTCTACATCTTAAAGAATGCAAGATATATATTTAATGATGCACAATAAACAGCTAAAGTAGTGCTCATGTATTCTAGTTATAATTATGTGAAATCTGATAATTAGTTCTAGCCCAATGGA